GTGTGTGTGTGTGTGTGTGTGTGTGTGTGTGTGTGTGTGTGTGTGTGGAGGCAGAGGAAGAAACAAAACATCTGCCCATGAGCTCGTAGCCTGATCTGCTCTCACTGAATATCTCCCCCCCTTTCACACACAAACACACACACACACACACACACGAACACGTGACATGCTTTTGTTCAGGGAGCTTATTATGCTGTGACACTGTGATGAAATGAAAATGATTTCATTTTGGGGGGGAAAAGTGTCAAAGCTAAGGAACTCCCCCTTTTCCATAGACACGCTCACATACCATATGGCGACGTGTCGGCCCGGATGAAAACATCTGGCGGTTCTCCATTTTCGCATGGGCACAGCCGATTAGAATGTAACTGCATGTTATAGCCGTGGCAGAAAAACAACAACCAAAGTTATAGGGAACATCACGCTTCCTCTGGATCAGTACAAGCGGGATGCAGCTGCTCAACTCCAGAGGGAAACAGCAGCCTGACTCATCTAGTGTACCAACTTTTACCTGTGGGAACCGATTTAGCTTTCTTTATATCGCTGCTGCATGCTGGGAAGGTTCACTCAGCTGGTCTGTGAGAGAGAAAAATTAGATTACATTCAAGCATGATGTGTCCACAGTGTGGTACTTTGTCTTTGTCTTCCCCACACAATACATCACTCTGATTGTACTAGTGATTCTGCTTTCAGTAATGTACAGTATAGAGAATCTCCTGTGTTTTACTTATTCGCACAAGCGAATTTTGCTGCAATAATTGAACTAAGTTGCACATGTGTTAGATCATGTAGAAATGGATCTCTGGTTTACTTGACTGGACCAAGATGGTGGGAGACATAAAAGACATGCATTTCAGGGTGTCATGTTTTGTGGCTATACACTTTACTTTTACTTCTCACTCCTGTAAAATTTGCCTAAAACGCCTATCAACCGCGTACCCAAAGTAAACTGACAGCTCTTATTGAACCATTGGGAGTACATGTATGGTTTTAGTCTCTATTGAACGGCAACACTCTGAAGTTTCTTCACAATCAGTCAGACTCGCTGTAAGTGATATTAGCATTGAGCTAATGCGTTTTCAGCACAGTGAAAGAGAAGGATTTTATTTCCGCCTAGATTTGTTTTGGCCAACAGATGGCAGCAGCTATCTATGGCTGGGACTTACAGGCCTAAAAAGACAATACTACGTCACCATGGAGTCATGGTACCTGGTATAAGCTATAATTTGATAACAATACAAAAGAAAATTAATATTTCACACATGGCTTACTAAGAGTGCGGCCACTTCAAAAACGCATTTGGAGGATCGGTCACCACATCAAAATGCATATACTACGATAAACTACGTATCCGAAATTCAAATGGTTAACTATATCATATACAACCATTGTCAATTCAAACAGATTCTTGAAAACTCTCATGAACCAGACTTTGGTCTTGATAATCTGTCCCAGTTACCTCAGTCACGGTTTCAATTGCAGTTTTGAAAACTTTCCCAGCATTCAATCTGATAAATCTGCATATCCTTGGCTTCGTAATTTCATTGGCTATGTGGAGCCTGAGTTTGAACTGGATCTGTTGCGATTGGCTCGAGCTTTACCCAAAGAAGAGAGGCGGGCATTGTCTTTCAAAGCGGACTCTCGTTGGCTGTTCCAGACTATGGCCGGACTATAGAAGCTCCTATTGGGTCAAATGAGGTGTCAATCTAACCGGCGGAATGCAGGCTCCATTTTGCGGTCAAAATCTCCGCTCTGTTGACATGAAAAGTGAAATTATGACCGAAATATTATCGCGAGTTATCATATCTGCTGGCTAATTTGAAATGATGCAACAGCCCCCCGTGGGTCTTTATGGACGTACTAATGTGTTTTGGACTAAATCTTTTACTGGATTCGATCGAGTGGACCCTTAGCCACCTAGCAAGACCGTTTTTGCTGGACTAGCATGCACAAGGGGGACGTTATGGATCATAATCAGTGAGTCACGGCAATATTTGATCGGCTATTTTTGGAGTGCTTGTTTGACAGAGACGTTAACTGTACCTGCTGTTATTGTATCTTGAAATGGTTTGCATAAATCGAATTACAAGAACCGTAGCTTTCTAATGAGATATCACATTAATACTCACCATTACAGAGCAGTTGTGTACATAACACAAATATGCCGTTAACACGCGGGCCGCCAGAGTGGGATGAGGTAAAGGAAGAGTTCTTGGGAAATACAAAGTATGGAAGCAAATTGTGAAAACATCAAGTTGTGGTTCTTATGTGTGACAGTTTGTAGGAAACTTGGAAGTCACTGCATCCGACTGAGAAATACTCTGTGCTCGGCACATTTTTAAACATTTCAAGCACACATAGGGCGGGACTGCTGATACACATCAGACACCCACCTGTAAAACTGGTGTTTTCTGATTTTTGAACAGTTGATTTCATTGCGCAACCAAAACACAACTTCTCATCATTTAAACAGATCATACTGAAGCTAATTAACACAGTCTGGTCTATATTTTAAGGTTCCTCCCCATGTGCCTTTGGTTTCTCTTTATTCTCCAATGCTGTTGCTTTGATCACAGCAAAATAAGTAAAAGGCGACACTATGGGCAGAGCGCTTTGAGGCAGAGGGGGGAAAAGAAAAGGATTGTTTATCTGCCTTCAATCCCACTGGAAGAAAAATGATCCTGTTTTCCAGTGGAGCAACTGAGTCACGACATCTTCTGTTGGATTCTAAATATGTTGACACCGCAGCGTATATTAGGTATCGTATATTGGTAAAAACCTATATGGTTCGAGTCCAAATTTGAATTCTAAAATATATATTCACTATGTGCCAGTTGTTGTGTGATTGCAGCCAAAAGTGCACTAAGGTCACACAAACATCAGCACATGGCTTTGGCTTTTTTTCCTCCACAGTGTTTCTTAAGGCATCGACTCTCCTGATTTAGTCTCATTCTAAAATGAGGCCCGGGCTGATTCAGTCCCTGAGTGGAATAAGGAGACGTATTGATTGTTGTTTCAAGGTTTTACGGGATACGGCAGAGTTATGGCGGTTGGGGCTGCAAAGAGGGATCCGGGCATCGTCAGCAATCTACGCCGCTGCTCCATAAACAAAATGAGCCGGGTGGCGTTTTCTGCAAACAAATACAGCTCTCTGACTCTCTCCACACACACATACAGCTCAGAGAAATCACATCACCGTAAATGTGGTTTTATTAATAACAACAGTATCTCTTTTAATGAACATTGCAGATACATAATAGAAAATAAATCAGAAACAGGAGAGACGTCGTCTCAAGAGTCGTGAAAGTGCCTGGAATAATTCTGTGCTATATATTGTCATTGTTATTCATCATCATCATCATCTTCATCTTCACGTCGCCACAAATGTTCCAATTCCTCATGAAACAAAACTGTGTACCGGCCCACTGAGAAAAATGTTTGTGTTCACACAGCTTCCCAAAGCAGGAGCGCGGACGCCAAACTCCTGTCACAATCTCATCGATTCTACGCATTAACCAGTCAGGATTAGTATTTCTGCTTTGAGAGGCCTTGTGAATAATGACCGTTGGTTTCATGAATATGGCTCGATTGTCTTCATCTTAATATCCCGCTATCATCTTGATTATATTTACACAATGCCATGTCATAGAGCACAACCAACGCCTCCGCTCAGGAATGCTGCTCTTTGAATGTAATCCATATCTTACTTTTCATAAGGAAGGATTGAACTGGATAAAAACAGGCCTGGCTCTAACAAACTATTGATTGATTGAAAGACCTCGAATAAAGAACTGCTCCTTCCAATGCAAATTTGTCAGCATCCAGCACTTGAAAACCAACACAGGCCTGTTCTGAAATATTTCATTTTTACAACTGAAGATTGCAAGAAGATGAATCGGGGGGCAAACCACTATTTTTCATTTATTGTTTACAAGTTCACCACTTTGCATATTTTATGGCACTAAATGAAACATCTCTATGTGATGAGATGCTGCAGGTATTTTAGTATGAGGTTAGTGTCTTGAAAAACAAATAATATGGCACAGCTGCAGGAGTGAGTGCAGGTCTGAGTGGATACGTGGATATAGCTCTTGTTTCGTATGATTTGATGAAATCGTACCGATCGAGATGGAAGCTTCCCTCAGAGGAAAAGAAGAGGACCATTTTGTGATTGAGATTGTGACTTCACTGAAGCTTGCTTTGGTCTAACTTGCTCTAAGTAGCATTTATGGTTACATAAACTCCAGGATTTAATTTGTATTTTTAAATACATTCTTGTCTCTCTTTAGCATTAATTACATCTTATTTGGATGGGTTTCTTTCTAAAAGGCTATTGGTTTTGAGGAGACTCCACCACCCATGATGATTATCGGTCAGTAGGTTGGAAATACAATTGATTACGTCCTCTAAAATGTTACTTTTTAATGTCAATAACTGAACATTAACAGCTTTATCTGGGCTTTCAGATGTTTTCAGACTCGTTTTGAAATGAAACTCTGCGTCCCGTCACCACACCAGTGCCAGAGTGAACTCAGTGTTCAGGACCAAGATGTGAAAGCCATACTTCATTTACTGGAGAGCGCCACTCAACTGATAAATCGTTTCCGTTGACAAGGGGAATGGCAGACAAAATAACCGAGCTGTCATTTGAGAGGAAATGAATAACAGAGATACTTGTTTAGCCCTGGACAGCCTTGTTTGGTCCTTCAGAGGAAGCCAGGTAGAGTAAATGCTTCAGGTGACACTGGACGTCATGGCTTCCCTCTCCTCCATCTGACATCCATACTGACATTGTCGATAGCGCAGCGCCGTCCTTGTTAAATCAACTGTGAATGGCTGCGATGCCTGTGAAATCAACCAACATAAAAAGCCTGCTGAGCTGCAATCCGTGGTTTGTTTGAAATGTCAAAACTCCTCTTTTTAATGACGAAAACAACCAACAAAGTGTTTTTTTCTCTTGTAATATGACATTTAGTGAATGACCTATTGATTTCCGTGAGCTGTGCAGTTCCACATAAGAAAACATTGTTATTTTTTATTATGTTTCCCCAATTCCTTCGATCTGAAACTTTATAGTTATAACATCTCTAAGCAAATATCCCTGTTACAAAAATAGACTTTTCTTTTTTTCAGAAAATAATACACATAATTCATTTTAGGTGATATAATCATCTGTTAAGGTAAATAGCAAGGCCGTTTTTTTTTGTTTTCCTTAAAGTAAATGTTATCGTGAGAGAAACAGAGACGTGAAGCCTAGCACCATATTCTTCATATCCTCCTTCACAGATATTACTTTTCCGCAAGCATTTGAATATGATCCATTTGTGAAACCCATCGTGTCCCTGCTCTCTGGACTCCATATTTTTGCATATTCTGGTTGAGTCCAGATTCTCAACCCTTTACAGCAGCCGGTGGAGATGAAACTCCTGAAATACAAACCAAATCGTTCTCATCTCCCGAAGGCTGCGACTTTGATCCCCTCCCCGAAAAAAACCCAAAGCTTTATAAACTACACCAGCCAACAAATTAAGAGAAAGATAACAACAGTTTATCCAAAACATCTCACAGGCCATTGCTTCACTTTTGTACAAACTAAAACAAAACAAATTGAAAACAAAAAAACAACTGATGATAAAACATAAGTAGTAACAAGTCCCAAACACTGATGCTACAAAGAATTAGAAAAACGTATGTACAGGACCCTGTATTCCTTGAACCTTCTGGGTAAATGATCATAGGTGTTGGCTTGTGTTACGTGAGTGTTTATACAGGCATACAAAAAAGTTCTCCTTGTTTCTTTTTTTTCTTGTTCATATTCAATAAAAGCTGTTATTGGACCAAAACAAAACAAAAATCTGCCACCTCCTCCACCCCCAAAGAGTCAAGTGTGTCTGACGCCCTGTCGTCCCTCCCCTCCGCTCCCCTGATGTTTCCTGGTGCAAATTCAACAGCAGCAAGTAGCTTAGTGTCTTTCAGGTCCACCTGGCTCCGGTGCATTCAGGGTCCAAGTGCCAGTTGTGAGTCCTCCCTGTGACGGACATCATATAGATCCACAGTCCATCGCGCTCGGCGCCGTCTCTGTCACCAGATGACGCTGGATATACTGGTCTCTCTGGGCAGCAGTGGCAGCATGGCGTTGTTGCCGTGGGCCTCCTCCAGACTCTGCTGGCGCGGCGACTTGGACTGCGGCCGCTGTCCGTTGATGAGCGTCATGGGGATGTTGCAGTAGGTGTGCTGGCTGCCGAGCGTGGCGAGCGGCGGCAGCGGCGGGAGAGTGCCGCCGGGTGGCATGTCGTAGTCGTAGCTACGGTAATAGTGTTTCTGCCTCATCTGGGCGTGGCAAGAGTTGTGGAAGGTGGAGCGCAAGTCCGGGTGCGTCGTCGCCATGGCGGTGGAGGTGGCCGCCGCCATGGAGATGGCCGAGACGGTCTGGAGCTCGCCGAAGGGGCCCTGCTCGCTGACATCCAGCACCTGCTCGTGGGAGATGCTCAGGGGCTCCATGTGCTTGAAGGGCATCTCATAGAGCAGCTGCTTCCAGAACTTGGAGTTGAGCTGGTTGCTGGATGGCCCGCGCCACTTGATGACCGTCAGCATCTTGATGGTGTGTTTGAGGGCCTCCACCTCCTGGTAGTTCATGATGCCGCGCAGCTCGGCGCACTCGATCAGGATGACCTTGATCTCGCCGGTCACCAGCATGTTGCGCAGCCTCGTCTCCAGCTCAAAGATGCTCCACCCCCTCCGCACCACGTAGCTGGGTGTCATGACGATGATGAGGCGCTTGCTCTGGTCCACGCAGCGCGCTACGTCCTCGATGTAGGCTGAGTACACGCACAAAGACAGAGACATGGACAGATAACTTTGACTTATTTCTACTTGCTTGTTTGTTGTATGTATTTTAGATAACTTTAATCCTACATGAAAGTACACAGAGCTCACGAGTGATGAAAATATGAGACATGTCACACTGGCTATTTGAATAATTCTGTTGGCCTCATAGCGACTGCTTAATTAACAAACTCCCTTTCATCAAAGTTTCAAACAACCAAATCGAATTAACTTTCCACGAAACAAAATGTGATTCTTAAAGAACGATTAAGGTTGTTTAAATTAAACATCTGACGAATCCTAAAATCTACATTAACACCTGTTTATTCATGAGGATATTGATACATTCAATTAAGATAAATGAGATATGTCATTATGTATTTCAACTTAAATAAAGCCTCTGCAGCACTTAATAAAAATATGTATTCGTACAGAATTATAGACAAAACAGAAAGGGGATCACTTGGTTTTACTATAAGATGACAATAAACATAAAACATTCAAAGCCAAGCAACATACCTCTGTGAAGATCAAATTAATTTGACTTTTCAGTAAATAAAGTATTGTGTCCACGTTCTTAATGAGTAGCTCTGCCGCTTGCGTCAAAATGAACTTGATTTAAGTGTTTCCCCAGGTCTGTCTGTGGTGTCAGGAGGAGGGAAGTGTGTACGTGTGTGTACGTGCGTGTGTGTGTGTGTGTGTGTGTGTGTGTAGCTCTTTGTCTCAGCCTTTCTCGGCTGAGACAAAGACAGAGTGGCTCCTCAACAGCAGGTAGACGGGATTAACTGGGCTTCACTTCCCAATCAAAGCTTATGACCCTCTTGTGTGTGTTTGGTTTTCTTCCTCCCTCTTTCTCTTAGTCAAGAGACAACGAGATGCCGAGTGTGTGTTTTTGTGTGTGTGCATGAGTTTGAGAAAAATATCTTGCTGGTCTTTATGCAAAGAAATGCCACATCTCCTGTCCTGAGAATGAACTCCTCCTTTCATGTCACCCTCTGCCTGAGGCTTCACCATGAGAGAGACCTGATTAGAGTCAATCACTGTGCTCTTTGCTAATTGGTCCTTATGCGGTAAGTCTTCACAATGCATCCCTGGAGCTAAAACGCCCCAGAAGTGTTCAAGCTTATTCCGTTTAGGTTCAAGGAAACAGGCAAAAACGAGTTTTTCTTTTATCTTATCGTGAATACAACAAATGGGAACGGATGAATGGATACTATATAATTAACTAATGAGGCGTAGTTTCATTTTATGTTTTGAATTGATTAAACTGTAAAGTAAATATGCCCTCTTGGGGTGTCTGGTAATACTTTACAGCATTATAGATTACATTCCTCCTTTCAGAGACCCCACAGGCTTTACAGTCAAAGTGGTGCATGTGTAATAATTGATTCCTGGCTACATAAAAATTAAATCAATGCTAAATTACACGGGGCAGAAAATCACTGTTGCCCTGCTCTCTGTAGTTTATCTCAATTATTTATTTAAAGGGAAAAGCCCATTGTGACAATGAGTACGATATGTTGTTACTGCCAGAAATTCCAACTTCCAGCAGGACGTTAGCAAAACAGAATTAACTACAGATATTACACAGTAGTACTTTGGTATTCGTCAACAAATCAATAAATACCTGATCTGTAAATACATAAAAGGTTCGTTCTCTGTTGCTAGAGTTGCTGGCACAATCTGTAGCTACAGTTTTGTTCAAACGAAGCAGCAGCCACAGCCTCAGAGGAAGATTAGACCCTTCTCAGCCACCGTACTGCAGACTAAAAGATCGTCAAAGTCTGATCGTTTTGTTTGTAGGTTGTGCTTCCACCTAAATTTCATTCCAGGTCACTGATGCCTGGTTAGTGGAACCATGTGTAGCTATGAAGTTTAGACACAACACAATATATATAATATATTTCTGAGACTGACTGTCTACATAGTTTTGATGCAGTTAACTCTACGCATCTAATTTACTAAACACAACAAAAAAATCTGTAATTTAGGTAAATGCAAGTTAAAAACATTTAATAATTCATGTTTTATGAAGGCTTTACAAGTTGTAACTAATGACTTTGTACTTAATTAATAAATAATGAATCAAACCAGAAATAATGGCTATTACTAACCAGAACATTACAATATTAACCACTTATAAAGCCATTGGTAACACCGTATAAACGCTGACAAATTATGACTTATTATACAGAGTTACCAAAATGAATGACTGATTTGATGAGAAAATCTGAATCATTATGTGTTGACACGAAAGTTAAAAATCTGTGGAAAAAGTACCTCTAAGTAGTCTTGTGTCATCCTGGAAATGATCATTGGTGAAACCTAAACATAGATATTTACATTCAAAGTAGGATCAAAAGATTTGCAGAAAAGCATTTGAACAAAACAAAAAAATCAGTTTTGTGAATGTGGGGACATGGTTCTGGCATAAACTGTGTTTCTCCACTGGTGTTGCACTGGCGATTGTAAAACGGTAATCGCGCTGACCAGTTTATTCCAGTTTAATATGGGACATGTAGCATAAAAAAGCCAAGGAAAAGCATTTTATTATTGCTAGTTTAGCCAAATTACACTTTTGTTAGCATCAACTCTATACACTACATATATATATATATATACATAAGAATTATATTAGAATGGTGAGATGTTTAAAATGTTACAAATAATCCAGCATACTGTAGAATAACAGGTTACTTATCAGCTGCTCAGGAGAAGGATTGTTGACACATGTTGAAACCTCAAATGGCCAAACTGTGTTTATCTATGGTCGTGGATTATGCTTTATCATATCAACTGCTGAGATGCTAATACATTCCCAATGGGAGCTAAATGTTTATACAAAAACACAATAAACCAGCGAGCTGGAATAGTGGCAGACACACTTTAGGTTCCTCTCAATCCTTGCATTTTTATGCCATCTTTCCCATATTACAACGGTCCCCTCGCATCGAGCACATAATCACAGCAAGGGATTCAGTTTATAACCGTGGCACAATGCCACTGAAGAGGAACAGAATTAGTAATGGCGGTATGTGCGCGAAGACAGGCAGATGCAAGTATTCAAATTGAAGCTAATAGCATAATGATATTATCTAACTCATCTGTGTGATGAGTTAATCAAAGATAAGCACAGGGCATGGTGAGACGCTCCATTAGAAATACACTGTGGTAAAACATGCATTAATATCCATGCGTCGAGAGCCTTTTGATGATACAGCTGACATCATTACACAGCAGCATGCGGAGGTACAGTTTGTATGGAGCTGGATCAGGACATGGACTGTAATAATAGAGTCGGCTCTTTCAGCCAATTATGCTTTCTATGTAATTCGGCCCATTATGCCTTCCACAGGCATTAAAGTGCATTGTGTAGACAATGCACTTTAAATACCTATGTACATAAAGAGCCAATCCAGACCTTTTCTCGTCATTATCTGTTTAGGCCTACAGTATAGGTTTTCATGAATTCACTTTCACGAAGAAATCCTGACTGCAGGGACTCAACTCAACAGATTAGATACTGACAATGTTATGAATTCAAGTGCAATTCAAACTGAGTTCCTAAACTCCTGTGGTGGGGAAGTGTTTAGAAAACTCTGCAGTGAAAACTTCCCTCCAGAAAAAGTATTATCTGCATAAAAGGACTCTTCCAAGTGTTATTACAGGTACATTATACTACTGGCTTATCAAAACTGATACATTAAGTGCAGGCAGCGTTTCAATATTACTGGAAATAAAGAACCTCCAAGTATACTTAAGTAGAGTACCTGAGTAATTTTACAGTTACCTTCCGCTAATGGTAAACTCATAAGCAAATTCAAATTAAGTTATTTTCAGTCAAATAATATAATAAGTAAGTGTTTCATTACTATTATCCATGATATCCATTTCTCAGATTAATTAAATGAGCTATCCCATGAGCTAACTACTTTTGTCAGGTGATTAGAATACATTAGCCCCCAATGTTGTATTTCTTTGTGTCGGATTCATGAAACATGTCCTCAGAGGCTCTTCAACCCTGTTTCTTAATATACGGCCTCCCGGCACAGCATGTGCGGGGAGGAACCATTAAAACCGAGCCAAACTAAACTTCAGGGGTTCTTCAGAGGCGCTATTATAACGATAGTCTGGATAGACACAGGCTCAACCGTTGTTTGGAAGTGCTGCTAGCAGTGGTTCACCTATCAGATTATTGTACACTGTACTCCTTCATTAACACCACTTGTGTTCATATGAACTGGATGTTATTCAACTCTATTAGTTATATAAAATCTGGATTGCATCGTCAATGCTTAGGTCGAGTTGGTCAGGTTTCCGTTTACACTGCTGCCACTTCGATTCAACCCTTTATTCATTACCTTTAATTTATGTATCTTAACTAGTTTTCCAGCAACTGCAGAGGTGCCGACACAATGAAAAAAGTACACACACACACTGCTGTGGTTTTACCTGAGGTAGATTATTTGAAGTGGAAACATTGTCAAGTCCATGTAGAATTTAAGAGGAGCTGGGAGATAGTGTGTGGGTACTTTTGTTTATGGATGTGCCTCCTAACGGGCTTTAGTTGGGAATCACTAATTTTCAGACTGCAACACTTAAAGGAGGTGCAAACTGTTTATTCAGAACGGTTTTAGGATGTTTTTCTCATGCTCATGTAATGCTTACGTTGCTATATGCCATAACTGCACCTTTGTTAAAAGCTGGAATACGATGTTTATTATGGGAATATATTATCGCTCACAAGCAGGTTGCATTGAATTAACTACTTAAATGAAAGAAATGTAAAATGCTGACACTCAGTTTTGTTTCCTGTTCTATTCCTATTTATTTTCCCTCAAAAATTTAAACTGAAGAACCCCCAAGTTCCACCTTTTACATACTGATCCACTTAAGCTCAGCCAGTGGTTAGAGAAAGCTCGATCCGATTAAAACAATGACGGTCTTACAGGTGGAGATAAGCCACAACACAAATGCATCACAGAAGACCACAAACAAGGCATACCACCACGGCACTGACAACACGAGCAGCACCAAGCGACAAAACATTCGACACAACTTTGACATCGCCGCGAGAGAGAGCGCTTACTTCCTGTGGGGATCAAGTCCCTGTCTGGAATGAAGAGTTTATACCCATAATGCTTCTCCAGCACGTCGGGGAGGATCTCCAGGGCAAAGCGCTCCTCCTCCCGGGTCTCCTGGCTCCACTGGTCCGGGTCCACTTTGGTGTAGGACAGGTAAGCGTCGTAGTCCTTGTTATCTGCAGGTAGAGGTGGGGAGACGGACACGGAGATGGGTGAAATGTCGCAGCTCCTGCACACCAGCAGGATTTGTTAGCCTCAGCAAACTGAATAAAAGAAAGTCTGTTCCCTTGAACATCACTTCATGTATGGGCATCGGGAAGCTCCCAAAACCACTTTGCCCCAATTAAATGTGGAAATGTTTTTTGATTTGGACACAATGTTTCCTGCTTTGGTCAGCAAAGATATGCCCTGCTATACCCCAGGTGCTCGCAATCTATTTTCATACTGGTGCACAGAGAGCTATTCATTCACTGGGAGACTTCATTGAGACAGGCCGCCTCCATTACACTGACCTCTGGGCACTTCTGCCCATCTGAGTGCTTTTCATTACAGCTCCGTCCCCACTGACGAATAATGTTACCTTGATAGCTACTGTGCCCACAGCAGGCAAAACAAATTAGACTCCAGCCTGAGCTAAATGCCCAACCTTGCCTGCTAGGCCGACGCATGGCGTGGCTCCATCACCCACATGAAAGCCCTGATTGATGACGGAATTGAAAAGAGTGAGCGGAGAGACGGAAAGTGAGAAGTGAGGGAGGACTTAAACGTTTCTTCTCAAGCTGGAGCACTTCAGCACAATGAGTCAGGAGGGTGAAAATGGAAGACATGGAAGAGAGATATTCCAGATCCTCCGAGTACTACAGGAAGGAGATAACAGCCTCTTGCTCCTGAACGACCAAACCACTTCATCTATTAGAGTGGATCGGCCCTTGACCTAGAGGAATCTTTCTGACATTGGTTGCTGTAGAAAGCAGCTATGCATATGCTGTTATCCATGCTCAGCCACACAGTCAGTGGAAATATAAGGTGTTAAAATTGAACAGCATTTCTTTCAATTTAAAAGGTGTTTTTGAGTCCAGGACAAGGTGTCCATACTGACCCTACCCACTGTCCCAAACATCGTGGGGAGGCAGACATTTGGGGAAATGCACCCGTTGTAGAATTAACACAATTGCACCTTTCTCGTTTGGGTTGAGCTCTAAAAAACTTGATAAATTCTTGCCATTGCCAGAATGGGAGCAAACGTAGCGCACTTTTATTAATCGTCCAAGTGAGATTTCTGCCTGCAGCACAATAGAGGTTTGTGTTGTGTTGTCAACAACTTTCTACCACAGAAATAGTCCAGGTACATAAAACTGAGACCATCTGCAAGCAAAACAACAATATACTTTTTGTAAATTGGTATATTGGGGTCATATTCATCAGAAAGACACAAAAATATCAGCTTTAATGTGTTTCTTTGTTTACTAAAACTGTCATATCTTAGCCACAAAAGAAGGGGGGAATCAGAATTGGGACTCTGAGCTGCGATGTGAACGCAGCCTTTGAGGTAAACTCATTAGAGATGCGAGCGGGCGTTAGATCTTTGAGTCCCTGTCTTCATTAAGGCTCCCTTTGCTTTATAGTGGCCACCTGCAGTGCAAGTGCTGCGAGGGGACATTTAACCTGTCAAGACACCGGAGAAGAAGAGAGCTGAGGATGAGAGAGTCGGGTCCAGGAGAGTAGAAGAGCAGCTGGGTTCAAGAGGAAGGATTTTGAGATCAATCCTCAGTACGGTATCCCCTTTTTATCTTTTAATACCCGCTCTATTTTACACTCCTGTCTGCCTTTGGGCCATGAGACCGTCAACAAGACTCACTCCCTTCCCAATGGGAAGTCTTGATATTTGGTACTCGTACATAACACTATGTAATTAATCAAACTCATTTTTATAGCATCAGGGACATGTAAAAATAATTAAAATGTAACCTCATAATCACTTAGTACATCTAACTCTGAGGCTCATATTCTACTTCTCGGTGACATAAATCTCCCTCTCTGGTTTTTCTCCGGTAGCCTTTAAATGAAAGCTGTGTAGGCGGATCAGGGGCTATTTCAGTGGAGCTGATTCACTCGTCTGTAGTGGGAAAGAGAGAGAAGGGAGAGGAAGGGGGTGACTCTCGAGGGCGGAATGACCCTGTTGTTGCACCTCGAGGAGTCACTCCTTACAGGAGACCGGTGCGGTGCATCTGAGGGCACAGCACACCTCTGGAACTGCATCCAGAACTCCTCCGTCCCACATGTCCACTGCAAAGGGACCGACGCTCACTGCACATGGAGGTGCGGGGTAATATATATATTCATGTGCATAGAGAGCCTACACTTAGACTGTGAACTCCTGAACTCGCGGTGGAGAGCGCCAAGAGAATTGGAGGCGTAATCTCTGGGTTATTTCTGGGCTCCATTACATTTAATGGAGAGTAAATTAGAACGTAGCACACCATACTTAACTTCTAAAGCTACGGAAGCACACGAGGCGGACTGCTAACGAGTAGCCGAGTACTTTTAAACATGCCGTTTTGTTTTCCATAATTAATAAACAGCTACCTGAGGTCATATTGGGCTGTGACTGATTACTGCCATTAACAACATTATTTTGGCAATAGAAAATAGTAGTAGGAAGGTAACACTTTAGAATTCCTGATTTGAATGTTTTCCGAGACGTTCCCAAAAAATAACTATGTAATTTAGAAGTAATTAAAGGGAAAACGGAGACAGTGTCAAATCGGTATATTGTACGGGGACAGGAGAACAAAGTGGCGATATATTTATAATTATATAATAGATTATTCAGTTTTTTATGATTAGAGATGTTTTCTACATATATTTCTATATGCTCTTAGAGGGGTTATTGTGCAATATAAAGAAAAGCGTATTCGAACTCTAGATACCTGCTCTGTAAGTCTGTAGTGTTTTGATCACACAGGTGCAGCAGGTCACCAACAAATATTTTAGAGCTGATTTTCAAGGACGCTCATATTCTTCCTACAATTAGGAGCAAAATGAAAAGTCAATTCAAGCAAACGTCCTCTGAAATTAGTATGACCAAAAGGCCATCGCCACTTCTCAGAGCCCAAGGTGACTCCTGTCTGTAGATTTATCTGTGATGATCAATGTTTCCCCCTGGCAGAAGCTGTTGAGCGTAAACCCTCTGTTTGTCTCCTTTGTTTCCCATTACATTTGACAATATCACTTGGGAAAACCAAGACAGCATTTGACCTTCTGTTTACAAACGAGCTACTTTGTGATGTTTACCTCTGCATCTTACATATGCAAATCAAACGGGATGCATTACAGTTCTTGTGTGCGAGATGTGAAAACTATTAATGCTCGGTATCTCCAAACTACCCTGAACACAGACGGAGCCTCATAACTCCACGCCGTGCTGACAACACTGACATTCGTATTTATGGCAGAGTGTTGATGAGTTCCCACCTCCTCGACATGCTCGCTCGGCTGTTGTCATCATGAAGCCTATTATTGATTCTACTGACACCCACACAATGTGACAACTGAGCAGTCTTTAACTAAATAGCTGCGCTGACAAATAGCTGACAGTCCGTCCTATTGTTACGTAAAGCTTACAGTTTTACATCTGGCAGAAGAGGGAGGCAGGCGTTCAATTAGTTCCTCGAGTGGCCACAATGAAACACAAGCACTTTCTTGGCAGTGAGTGCCGATTTATGTTGGGGAGAAAAAAATAAAATTCTCTGTGCATCCCAGACATCCTTCAGGGCTTTATTTATGAAAACTATGTGTGTGTGCAACTACATCTTACATGCAGCCACTTCTCCCCGTCAGTGCAGTGGTTACCATCGAGATAGGATCGCTGTTAACCACCTCCTGCCAAAGCTTAGCAGCCGCTTTCTCTCCACTCCACTGGCAACCATTTTCAGTTTGGTGCATATTTAACGTTTTATCCTTCCCTATTCACCTCCATTGGAACTGGAGATGGAGATGACTTGGGAGGTGCAGGTGCGAGTGTGCGCGCGCTTGTGAATGTGCGCGCGCCAGAGGTGGCGGTGAAGTGATCTAATCGACCGCGGCGTGGAGAAAAGTATCAAGAGTCTCCTGAGAGCTCCGGAGGCAGCGCGCTGTGGCTTATTGAACCTGATCCCCTTATACTGAGGAACAAATTGAAAATCTGTTTCTCTCTCCCAGCACTCACTCGGGTGGCACAATTAAAGGAGACAATTGCTGTTTGGCATTAAGTTCAAGTCCCGACATTTTTTGTCTACCCTTTTTCAACACAACTGCCTCTGGGCCATCCATTACGCCGATGCTCCGCTTTCCGGAGCCGAAAGCCCAACACAGCCGGAAGTAATGACTTTCATTGAAATGTCTGATGGAGCAGGCATCTCAGTTAAGCAGAGCCGGGGATGTACGAGGAGAGGAGCAGAAAGCTTTTTACCTTTTACCGCTCATAACTCTCTCGCTGTCTCCCTTTCCACTACGTACAGTCCCTCAGCCTCTCCGAACTAATCTCATTCCCCCTGAATTCATTGCAGCGCTGCTACTTGAGAGACTCATTACAGGGGAATCAAATTAAAACTTGCTCCTTGTCTCAGTTTGATGCATTCTCAAGACAAGACTCACCCACCAGGCCCAATCAGGGGGCTTTTTTTCTTTGACTATTGCTGATGGGGCCTCAGAGTTAATGTTTTTGTCTGGCACAGGGACTGTGTTTGGATTTGCGTTACAGAGATTGTTCAGCAAAATACATCACCTCTTGTGCAGTTTGCATGCAGACACATGGGAAACAATCAACAGGAGACACATACATGTGCAGAATCACAACCCAACCCACATTTACCTTAATGTTTTCATCACAAGTATTGTCCAAGTTGGCCTCGACTTTCTACTGTTGTAAGCTAAAGAAAACCTACATTTCCTTCATCAGCAACTCAAGATAATGTGCCCAACGTTAATCAATTTAGCAGAGATACACAGAAAGAGCAGACTAAATTGTCACAATATAGGGAAAATAAAAGAATATCCTATGTGAAAGCTTTCCAGAGTTGTAAAACTGTGTCAAAGTATTTCAAAAACTGCTCACAAAATGATTGATGTATTAGTCAAATAGGACTTCTTTTGTCCTGGGTGTAATGTGCAGAGCCAAGGCATTTGTAAACAGGGAACTCTGTGTACAGTGGGGTTCTCTTTATTCACTCCCAACACTGTACTGCAGTGTGTCTTTAGCAAACGACTGGTATTGACAGTGTTGTGGACAGTTACTGAGCTGACAGTGGTCTTAAAATGTGTTGGTCTTTTGATCTGCTGTCCTTGGAAAAAAAACTGTACTATGATGGATTTCCTCCAGTATGATTTAAGCCACTGTTTGAAAACTTCATAACCCAGAAGTAATGCATTGTGATGTCAGGAAACAGCACCCAGCATGAGCATTTTTACAAGGCTGGCTTGTGATTCGTTTTTACATGGATGTAAGAATGACAAGAGAAGGAGCCACATCAAAGACTGGTGAGTCGTTCGCTGCTGTTTAGGAGACAGTTTACCGAATATTTTGCATAAAACGTTTTTGCTCAGCGGGTTGAGAAGGCTCCCTGAAATCGGCGACATCATTTTTGAGTTAAGAACAATGGGAGGCTCTTCTCTGCGTCATTTGGACTGATAAACCAGGTCTACATTTACATAAAATTAGTGCCAGGTGGAGCTTTAAGGTGTGAAAAATAGCCCAGGTGTTTTCTGAGTAAAAATAAATGCGTGCAGAGCAGTGTGATAGTGCTCGGGTTAGAGATTTGATTCCTACTGATGAAAGAAAGGATGCTTTCACAGCAGAGGAAGGAGCTTTAGAAATCATCCACTGAACAGAAAACACTGTGGTATCACAGATTTTGGGGGATTATTATACAACGCTGTAAAGTAAATTTTATCTTGCACCATATCTCATCTTACCTCCGTCTATATCCTCACTGCCAAAGTGGCTTCTGTAGAAGAGCATGAGCTCAATCCTGTAGCACTTGTAGAGCGTCACCAGACAGATGAGCAGCACCAGGATGGCTCCCAGACCTCCGGCCAGCTCCACAGTGTACATCAGCTCTGCTAATAAGGTGACAACACAGTGAGAGAGAGAATTTATTGATAATAATAAATAAATAAATATCCCATTTTTCATCTCTTTCACAGGGGATCCTGTTCAAGATGGCAGAGTACAAGTTTCACTATGTAAAAACACAGATAACAGACTTAAAACAAACCAGAATATCATTCTGTATCTTCAGTGCTAAAATGATCCTTAATGCTATTTTTAAAATCTTGCATGCTTATGAAATAATCTAGTTTAAAATGTGTTTGTAGTTCAAACAATGTTGAGGGTCCAAAAAACAGCGCGGGTTCTCGGAGTGATAAACATAATTTGTACACAAGATTGGAGGTTGCAGCTACTATCAGTCATATTTCTGAAAAAAACCCATAAAAAAAAACTATTGCACAACATCTGCTTCTCATTTCTTGAGTGACCCAGTATTTGAAGGTTTGCAATCATTTCCCTTATTTCTCTTGAATGAGTCATACTTTTATACCGGCATGGACTGAGACATCTCCAGCTATCCATTATCCAAGTAAATGTCAGATTTCTACTCTTTATGATTCATTTCTAATTTTGATCGAACATTAAGAAAAGCAAGCATAGAAAATTTGATTTAAAATCAGTTCATTTATAGGCTGAAGTTATAGGCGTTTGGTTGAACAGTGTGAAAGGCGAATATTTTTACTGTCACATTTATCATTTTCATGTTTTTTTCTGATCTTACTGCAGACATTTGGTGCTGTGAGACTATATATTTACTCTACAAAATGTCAGAAAGTTGCACAGTTCCTCCACACTACCTTCCCCTCCATCTTATTTATCTGCTTTTATGTACGTCAAAGTTGGCGTGCAAAAATAAATCTCACCCCAGAACATCAATACATGTGAAATAATGCATGAGGCAGATATGATAGATGAGAATAGGTGCACTAGCTATTGTTAAAAGCGTCTTTGATTCTACCTGCACATTCGTTTGAAATAGGCATCTCCTGCGGCTGTGTTCTTTCCATGTTGCTTATATTCTCATTGTGGCTGGATTGCATCCACATGATACATGACTCTAACTGGAATGAAAGTATAACCACTTCTAAACCTGTAACTTAACGCTGCTTGATTGGATAATAAAAAAAAAAATCACAACTAAGCAACCAGGGCGACAATAGCATACGACAGCTCGGAATGCCATGCTTATGAAGATTGGTTACGCGTGTGTGTGGCTGCAGAGAGGAAACGCGCCTGGCTGTTTAGCCGAGCCGCCAGTTTGTCGACAGATTGAGGCGGCCCGCTCTCCCCGCCATCCGTCATCACTGCAGGCTGACGTGAACTCGTGAAAAGCATCAGTGGAAGCTAAATTCAAGGAACTGCAGGACTTCACTGTTGATATTTCACTTTTACACTCACATTATTCTAAATTGTGTTACTTGTAGTATTTCCAGAAGGACAGGACAAAGCATCCAGTACAAGACTAGTAGTGTTATTCAGGAGGATGAAAGGTGATTTTTTACACTACAAGACAATGGACTCCATTAAGTTCCATGGTCCAGTAGCTTGCCTAAGTCGTTGGCTTTGTCTCATGGTCTCTTTTTCAAGGCTTTTTTTTTCTTTTTTTTTTTACAGTGTTTTCTGTCGGATGTCACTCCATCTTTTGCAGTTCAACATTTCCTCTTGGCTACGCCTCACCAAATCTGGGTGGTCAGCCTTCATTGGCTGACTAATGGACAACAGTAAAAGGCTTGACTCGCCGCAATGCCGCACACACACACACACACACACACAGACATACGCAAACATGGACGGAGAGGAGTCGCGTGCATCACCATCCATCACCGACACACATTTAACCTCGTTGGGGTGCGCGATGCCCATTCCACTGCAGCGGCCATCATGCTGACAGCTCCCATGATGAAGGATGATGTTCTGGAGAGCTAACGAGCGTGGCCCGCGCCGCTTCATCACGCCTGTCTGGGCGACGACCTTCAGCCAAACTTACAGACGTACGTACGCAAACAAAAGAGCAAACAAACTCGGGGCAGATTGAACACAGGTTTCCCCGTCAAAAACTCTAGTCTCAGTTTCTCTCCCCTCAGCCTGGGAATCATCTTGAATGAGAGGGGAGTTGCGGTAAATGAGCACCGGATGGATGGATCCAAGCAACTCCACCTCTCCCTCTTTTCCTCTCCACCTCTGCTCTGCCCTCTCGCCTCAGTAAACACTGCTCCTCTCCTCAGATATCCGGACAGTGTAACGAGCCAGCTGCTCCTCAAACTGCAGAGATTACAGTGGAAGAGGCCAATTCTTCTCAGCCAGGCATCCATATTGTAGCAGCTCTGCAGCGGGACGGATTAAGACAAATTAGCTCCTGACTAGAAGGCTGGATTTGATGGAGCCACATGGCATCCGGCGATTCATCAGCCCCCTTTTTTCTCCCTCTATTGCTGCGTCTCTCTCTCTCTGTTGTCTAGGGAGGGAGATGAAAAGAGAGACAAGGAAAAGGCGGAGTGGGGGTTGAATGGTAAAATAAAACAGAGGAGCGCGGCTGTGAGAACAGTGAAAGCTGAGTCTGCTGCTTCTCATGTTCACAAATCAAGAATCTAGATGTTAGTTATTATATACAGCATAGGCAGCCGTCTGCCAGATGATGTTGCCACTGCTGCTGCCGTGAGATAAAAAATGTATCTGAGGATGTGGAGCCGCAAAAAAAAAAAAGTTGGCCAGGAGGACATCTAAACTTCTTCACTATGAGAAGTTGTACAAGAAGTGGAAAAGTGAAGACGTATTCTGCTTGATGCTGCGCTGAGACGACCAAATTTATTTGGAGTGTCGTGCTGGTTTTACCGCTTCAAGAGACAAGCGAGGAAAACTCTGAAAGGCAGCGTAAACACTGACTGGCCTCGCACCGCGCCACACCATGGCTGCAGCAAATAAAAACATGGGAATCGGTCGATTTCTTGTGGACCCGCAATCCTGCGAGGACCAGGCTAATCTTCTCCGAGTTTAGTCTGAGATTTGACTGTGCAGCATAAACCCCTTTAATATAGCAAATGGAGGGGAACTGGGCTGCCATCAAAGCTGGATCCAAAGCTGCGAGCTTAAAAGAGAGGAAAAATATCTTACTATGTAAATGTATTCAACACTGACAACTTTAAGGCTGCAGAGACCCCCCCCCCCCCCAGCCTCGCGAAAAAATAAAAAATAAATCTCACTTATATAACCACGCTGGGAAGTGTGCATCTCTGTTTGAAATCATCACGGAATCAACTTTCAAACAGTCACCCTTAGTGAGGCGAAATCAGAGGAAAAAATGTTTGCTTGAATAAAAAGGCAAGGGGGAGGGGGAACGGCAACAGTAGTCAGTGATGAAAGATGAGAAAATGTCTGAGTGAGAGTTCGGCGATCAAAGCAGGATTTGTGCGTGTGTGATGGAGGAGGTCATTGCCAGACAGCCAAACAGATTGTCTGGCATCATAACACCGAAGGCTGCCTCTCTCTGTCTCTTCGAACTAATGCTTCCTCAGGCTGAGGTGAATGTTTAGGTTTTCTGCACTATCTAGAATACTGTCCCAATTCTTTTCCTCCCTGAGGCGAGAAACAACTGGTCAATTCCCAGAGTCCCGCTAGTAGTTGTTCTTCTTTGTGCTCAGTAAATTGCTGCGAAGACATTCACTCTCTTGTCAGAGCAAAGGCCTGTGGTATTAAATGGTGTTCTTCACCCCCAGAGCTGCAAAATGCCATTATTAAATCTCAAGGCTTCTACATCCCTCTGCTAGAGTCATGGTGAAATACTGTATATCCCTTAAATAACTGTTTTTTTCCCCCCATCTTACAAATGAATCCGTGTGCTTGTGTTCGCCCCACCTTTCTTGTTGAGCTGGATGTTGGCCTGCCGCCGCCCGTTGCCGTTCTCCACGTAGCAGGAGTAGTTGCCCAGATCGTTCTCCTCCAGAGAGTCGATGGTCAGAGAGATGGACACCTCCTGCTCCCCTAGGTGCTCCCGGATTGTCCTGCAAAGGAGACAGAGAGCACAGAAAAAGGGATGCTGGGTGCGGTTGACGCATATGAATATATGTGTGGTTTTTGCAACATCATCACCAGAGGCACCTTTTTATTACCTAAAGGTCACTGAAATAATTGAATGTTTCTGAAATTATTCTCAAAATAAATATGAAAATGTCAGTTTGTTAATGTTCGCTCAAGATATGGTGATTTTACCTGAGAGAGTGAGTGTCAGCCCTTCATTTACCCTTTAATAATTCTAACAAAAAATATGCAGAAAGTTGCCTGGTGTATCAAAGTAGATATTGAAGACTTTCGGAGCAAACGTAATCTGTTTTTGCTGTTTGACAGACGGATGAGACACCGCTGGACTTTTATGGCATTAATGACAGGAGGATTTAGTGTTTGAGCCAAAGACAAGTGCTGCGCATGAAGAATGTCATGGTGGACAGCGTCCATCAATTAATCACGAAGGGACGAATGATGTACGGCTGTCTGCTCAAAGCTATTACAAGTTTGCGACTTTGCAACTGCGATGGTTGGTAAAACGAAACCAACATACTATACCAGCAGTTTGGTCAAATTTGAACGCCAACATGACTTCAATCATCTGCCCAAACGGAGTCCGGCCGCCTCATTACTGACTGTGAGGTGTACATCAAAGTAGCTTCTGTAGCAGTCTTTGTTTAAGAAGTGGGATTGGGATGAGAAAAAAAAACAAACTGAAAATTTGACTCAGAACATCAGAGAACATGCAGAGCTGGAGTTATATTTTTAATTCCGTATTCCCAATGTTTATAGGTATGCTCTGTGACTACAGATTCCAAATAACAATGTCAAATCGAATGTTCTGAATCTGGACCAAAATAATACAAACTATGGAAAACAATAACTCTAGAGTGCAGGCAGCCAAAAGTCATAGAAAGTATGACTCTTTCATAAAATATGGATTTTTCAGACAAAAAAAAAAGTTTGCCCTAAGAAATTTGAGTTGTGTCTCCAGTATGTATCCTAAAATCCATAAATCATGACCTTGGAATTATAAGCTTCCATCTGTGTGGAATTTTGAGACACTGTCACAGAGCTGACATTTTCGGAGTAAAACTACCGTGCACTCTATACCTGCACACTCATCGTACCCATAAATATGCAGATAACTACATCAGACAGAACCGTAGTTTAATACCAAGCTCTATAATCTGCTGACATTCCACACAGCATTTACTTTTCAGTTCATCAATAAAACAGACGGTAGGAGGTGACAAGAAGCTAGAATCACATGAGTTATGACAGATTTCCCCCATGAAAAATACTCACTGAGGCTCCTGATGTCTACTGGTTGTGACATGTTGCTACGGGGACAATAGTGTGACTGTCACGATGCACTACAGCGCCGACCTATCACAAAACATTTTGCCAAGAGGGTTAGTGAGAAGAAAAAATAAAAAAGCCCTTTTGATGTTTTTGTTGCGTAGAATTCAGCCATTTTCCAGCAATCTGTACACTTCTACAACAACAACACATGCAAAAGACTGCAAGCCTCGACTATACGATCACAGTGACTGCAGTGACTGGAATGCCACTGACACTGAGATGCCTGTTTTTCTTCACTGGACACTTAGCAGGGTAAAACGATGGATTTTTAGCAGCGTCCTCTTTATTTTCAGTGTCTGCCTTGATTTAAATAAGCAGGATGACTGCATCAGGGGGCAGCTAACTGGATTCAAAGAAAAACGCTGACAATGCTAACAAGGCATCAGGAGGAGATGGCACCTCAAGATGTAAAGATCTCCCTTTCACACTTTTTTTTTTACACAAACTAAGCACTTTTCCACGAAACTCCTTTCTATGAAAGCCTACCTGCCATGTATGGTGAGTTACCTGAATGACCAAAGACCAGAACAACAGGAACACAATGATGGTAAACAGCTGAATCTCTCCTGCTGAGTTGCTGTGCAAAAGTAGGAATGATATATGAGCAGTCTTTTTAAGGTTACAACAATTGCAGCTATTCCAAAGCTCTGTTAAATGATGCATGGGGCTAATAGTGTGAAAAGTCGTCTGCCGTGGGGCATCTGAATATGAAAAACGGTGTAATTCTTGCTGATCAATGAAAGGACTAAACAAAGCAGATTGTGAAGTGCGGGGGAGCTAGAGACAAACTACAATACAAACACTGCTGCCATGACAATAGCTCACATTAGCTTTACAAAGCGCTGCTAATATTTTGTATCCCACATAGATAGAAATATCACACTCGCAATGAAATTTCTTTTATTGACCATTTACGATCACGAACCATTAGAGGTAATTATGTTGTAGCTACATGGACTAGCTGCTTCATAAGAACTAATTATGAAGTAGCACTTCTTTAGCTTCTGCAGGAAAGCACGGACGTTACTACCAGTGTTACGGCTCGTGTGAGTATGTATTTGAGAGGGAAATCAATCCAGCCTTTTCTCTTAAATCCTGCAAGCTTGTCAAACACTCATCCTTCTCCATTGTGCGGCCAGTCAAGCAGAGACACGGGAATCCACAAGGTTGGGATATAGATCCATGCTGATGGCTTTTTAAAGAGGTGGCACCCATGTGTGACTCAACAGAGACTGGGCTAAAACACTGTGGGTGTTGGCAAAGGAAAAAAATACAAATCTATATTTGTTTACAAAAAGACTCCATTGTACCTGTTAGGGAAAGTTTCGAGTGTACAAGTGAGGATTTGTGTGTGTGTGAGAGGAAGCTGAAGAAAGAGTGTGGAAGCAGGTGTGTATAGGAGACGATGAAAGCGGTAAACTGGTGCTGTGGAGCTGGATGGAGATGAAAATGCACTAGAAAGCCAGACCAGGGGTTCACCTAAAAACATGCATTTCAAATATACTATTCTTCTTTGAACGTGCTACAGCAGCATCCTATCATCCTCTCTATTTTATAGAGAACAAGCTCTCCGAGCAGCCTCAATGTGACACCTGAACTTTTGAACTGCGCCATGTTGTCATGCTTTGCTTTATTTCTAAACGCCTCACTGGCTGTTACCATCCCGCTGTCTGCACCTCCCCTGACTACACCCCAAAGGTAGATATGAATTAGATCACAACAGATGCTCCTGTAAAGAGGCTTGAAACGTAACATTGTATACAGTGACAGATTGCCCAATAGGCATCAGCTTGGAGTTAGCAAGCTTGTGCCACGCTGTTGCATTATTGAGTTGGACAAGTGTTCCAGTTTTGTCCGGCCAACTTTGATTTTCTGCACAGTAAACATCAGACTGTAAAATGATAGTAGTAGGTGTGCAGGGCTAATAGGCAGTGGAAGCATTGCAGGACTCTGTATGTACTCTGATTTTCCATGAAGATATCTCTATATCTGTCTGAGCATTAATTAAGAGTTACATTTTACACTTAAACTGCTGCTCAAAAGGGTGCCGCATGCCCATGCACCGGGGATTGAAACGTCTTCTGGTTTTAAACTGCAGCAGCTGTCTCTGTATTCCACGCTGTGACTTCACCTCTGAGACCCACAGAGTCTTGTTCTGCAGCCACAAAATTTTATATCAACCCGGAATCTCAGCGGTGAAACATTGTGCCAAAAGTTCCATTTCATGTATTACAGGCAGCCCTTCGGGGAATACTCCTTTGTGATTAATTTCCATTTCAAAGCCGAAAGCTCACAGAATGATGTCAGGGGGCGGGTTTGAAGTGGTGCACATTCAAAATGGGAACAAAAAAATTAAATAAATAAAAACACACAGGGAGACGGTATCACGCGGTGGCACACAACAAAAATAGGCACTTGAACAACTTGAATGTGCACGCACCGTGGGCGCCCACTGTGTGCACACTTCTGCCCCCGCACACGCACACACACACACACACACACACACACACACACACACACACACTCTTTCAAAGCAGCTCAGGGTCACAGTTTCCATCTCTTGGCTTGTTACCTCATTTGAAAGCAGGGTTTCTAACAGCATATGACGCACTTCTTTATCTTTATTGTACCACCTACCCAATGCCGCCCCCACAACCCCCACCCCCCCTAAGTATTGTAGGCTCTAATTGGCCTGGTGTCCTTCACAACAGAGAGCGATGCTGAGAGCTGGATGGAATATGCTAGAAGGCTAATAGAGACATCTCCAAATGCTAGGTCACTGACTGGGCCACTAACTCTCCTCCCAGCCTTGTCATGCTGCTTACAGTTAACCTTTTCATTTGTCGACAACAGGGGTTTGCTAGTCATACGTCGGGTCTGTCAAAGGAGTACAGTGGGGCAGGACATGAAAGGGTGTGTGAATGTGCGTATTTCAGTACAGACAGACCAGCAAAAATGTCTATCTGAACAAATAATTAGCTTAACAGGGAATTAATTATTCCTTAAAGGTGCAATGTGTAAGATAAGGGCAGAATCTTTCTTTAGAACATAAAAAATGAACTAACTACTGTATATCAAAAGATGGCTAACCTAAGCTACAGGCTGAAGACACACGTGAGGATAAAAAGAGAGTATGGTAGTCGTATGGTGTACTGTAACAGAGAACAGTTTCTTATGATTTTGTTTCCTTATTATTCAATTTCACAGTATTTTCTGAAAGCCCTGGTGACGACAGCGGTGCAAAACACACAGAATTCCACCGATTATCTGCTGCTTACATTTTTGCAACAACATCTGGGAGACGGTGGCCACGCCGCTGCACAAATACATTTAGTTACTTTATTTTAATTTGGATGCAACGCCTTTCCCACCTGGTTGTCTGTCAAGATACAGTATTCTGTATTCTGTATCTTGAGTCACTATAAGTCTCTCGGCTGTGCTCTCCATTCATCTGACAATATTCATCCTGTCAGTGTTTACGAAGTGAAATATAAAGGATAACAAATATTTGTTGTCATCTTTTCCTGACATCGTCTCACACATGTGTATTAGCAGACTGAGGAGTCCTGTATTGATGATGAGGATTGCTCATTTCCTTGAAGGAGGGGCTATCTGAAGATGAGCTCTCTAATCTACTGCCTGAAGACCAGCTCAAAATCTTCCTGTAAGACCTGAATGTAGTGTGAGCCTTAGCAAAAGCTTCGCCACTATCAGAAAACATCAACATGTCATTTGGCCAAATGCTGCATTGTCAGTAATAGTGAGTCTTGTTGCCGCGCACTGCTGTTTCAACCACAAATGAAAAATCCCAGTATTGTTTCCTGACATAAAGCTATATGCAGTGCTAACTAGTTACATGTAACAGCATAAAATGATCAAACTACAAAATATATATGATTGCAATCCGAAACACTGAGGAAAAAATATGTTATTAAACTACAGTTAGGAATCAAAATGTTGGTGACAAAGGGGCTGCTTCCGAATATATTATTTTCCGGTAAAAAGCTTCTGCAGAATATACTTATTCTGTTGCTTTTGCATCTTTTCAATGTGCAGGAAAAGAAGGCATTCTTTTGGCATTTTTCCAGACTGTGCAGGTCAGCAAAACCATTGGGACAAATTAGAGTTTAACATCAAGGATAGGATGGCTGACAAGGAGCTATCTCTACGTCCAGACGGGCTCCATTCATTTGGCAGTATTCATGTTGTTGTTTTTGTTCTGTTGTTTGAATTTGACCCATTGTGGGTGGCTATGTTGTCAGACTAAAGCGTCTTTCAATTTTGGAAATTAAACAATAGTTTCCATCTGAATCAGAAAAGGGCTCTAACATTACTGTACTGCACATCATACCCTAAAGCAAGGAGCGCTCCTCTTAAGAAAAAATAACAGTCAATTAGAGGGCATGTTGGATGCTCAACCATCCTCAGGCAGTATGTGTGCCTGGCCGCCAGGTTTTTACCTGACATTGGATTAAACAGACCTCCGTTTCCAGACATGAGTGCGAGCCAAAAGATGGAGGTCACCCGAATGGAACAGGAGGCCAATACAGACATTTAATTGGAGTTTCCATCTGCTGTGCTGCTCCGCTCTTAATGCCTCCACGTATATTTCAGTGCTAAGTTATCGCTGATCACTGATACCTGAGCTGTGCATATACTGTATACTGTGCATGATAAAGAATGCATAGCTATCCGCATTATTGAACAGCCCGTTAAGCATTCATGAATAGAATTTCAACGATAGCTTGGTGGTGAAAAGTTCCTTTTATTGTTCCGTGTGTTGATGTGTGGTCCCACAGCTGTGGTAACTGGGTTTGAATAGGTGTTTACTAGTTCAGCTCGTGGGTCCCTTGCTGCTTTTGATGAGATTAAATGTACCTCATGAATTTCTGATATGTTGCTCGACCTCTGCTGTAATATTAACAGGGATAGAAAATATGCTCGTTCAGTGGAAATAATTAACTAAGAGAATTTCTCATATTTTTGTGTCCATCTTTTTTGTTCATTCCACCAAATTGAGATACTGAGTGAACCATAGCTTTGTGTCTCACATCCTAATTGCCATTAACAATAAGGATTTGCACTCATAATCAGGTCTGGTGTTGAATGTCTTACTTGATGTCACTCTCCTGAACCCGCTCCTCGTCCAGATCCTCGATGAACTTCTCCCCCTTCATCCAGTAGATAAGTGGACTGACGTCTCCGCTGTATCCAAAGAACGCTCTGCACGTCAGGTTGAGAGGACTTCCTGTTGGAGACAAGAGACGGGATGTGAGCTGACGCCTCCATGAACCTGCATGTCTGAGTGTATGAATAACATTGTTAGGGCATCAAAAAGTTGCCACAGCACTATTTAATCAAGAGCCAGACTTATTATAAAATATGAACTGTTAAAAAGTTTTCATCGCATATTTTAAACTATTTTCCCACAATGCATGTGTAAGATACACTGAGACTAAGATGCATCTTTCTCACAACAGGTAATATGCAGAGCATGTTCATACGAAGTGCTGCAACTTCCTTTCAAATGCGATCAGCAACATAAAATAGCAGCAGGGAAAACCATAAAACAGTAACGGACGGTGCACCAAAACAGATGCAGCCATCATGCGTTTTCTATTAAAATGATTAAACATCAGCTCCAGCTACCGGATGACTACCAACATTAAAACCATTCTTTATTACCCCCAAAAGGTGGTAGAAAGGGCGACACACAGCTGCAGCATAAGATGCCTACATTGCGATACAGATTTCCCAGCGTCAGTTCAAGTGAAGTCTCAGGAAAAAACTGGTAATGCTCGACTCTGCATCAATGAGCATCAGCCCCGAACACCTAAACCTGCATGTGCTTCCTGTTATGAAACCCATTCTCTTTCCAGACTCCAGTTTTTAGCTTTCAAAAACTCCACAACAGCGTTCTCGAGTCCATCAATTCCTAAACCGTCTCTCTCTCTTCGGAGGTGCCATCTTAAACCATCCCAGACCCATTTTAAATTCCCAGACGGCCTCTTAAACTTTAAAACACTCTCTGGAACCCTTTTCCACAAAACTTCACAGCTCTGCTGTACCTCCATAAAAGCTCTTATACTCTTCAGCAGTCCCCTTCTATTTAAATTTCAATCATTGTAGTTTGCAGGAAGTACTTTTAAACACAAAAGTATGGCGCAGCTTTTAAGGACCATGATTTGCACTATTAATGGATTCATATAGCCTTCTGTATGTAAAACTTGTACTGATTTCTCCCTTTTTTTACACAGAGGCAGGAGTTTAATCGACACATTATTGGCTTTATTACACAATTTTTCAGTGTGAATGTGATGAGAAACTAAAGAGTGTTTATGCATTACAAGCAGAGGCCAGCAGTGCTGCAGTGGAATAGCCTGATTGCACACCGATTTAATAATAGCAGTTCCATTTGTTTCAATTACTGTTAAAGAGCTGCGACAAAGTGCAAGTAAAGTACCAATAGCCCACAACAAGTTAGTAAAAGTATGAAAGTATTATCAGTAAAATGTACTGGAAGTATGAAAAGAACCTACTTGATCCTTTTAGATACCAAGTAGATAAAGTAGATAAAGTAAGAGTGAGAGACAGAAGACAAACTGTCGTCCGTAAAAGATGTCTGAAAAGTAAATAAAAGTGTGGTGAGACTTAAAGGTGAAGGCCGTAAAACCACAACAACGAGCTAAAAGACTCTGAAACGTACAGGGACTGGTTCCTCCCTGCAAGCGAAACCCTTTCACATTCCTCATTTGGACCATGCTAACTTATTGATTAGTGCAGTTGAAATGAAATCTCTGTCACCCCGAAATACTTCCATATACTTTGTGTTTAAGCATTGAAAAGCACAGCTCAAATATCCTAAAATGTTGATTATTGGGAGCATTTGAAATGCATTTGTGTGGTAGTAATTGTGTTTAGGCAGTTTAGAAAATACAAGGCTGGAAGAGCACTGAAAAATGGAAGAGAAAGAGAGAAGTCAGCTATGAAGACATTTGGGGTCATTTTTCTGTACTAGCAGGCAGTGTGATGTACAGATAGGCTTCCTGGGATGATGAAGACCATGAGAACAGAGAGGTAAGAAAGTGCAGAGAAAACACATATCAACAGACAAACCCCCTGCCTTCACATCGGCAGGAGTTCTTCTCTCTGCTCGGCTCATTTTGAACACACATCCTGTCTGACTGGAGACAGATTAAAAAAAACCTTTTAAACCCGTTTTCTCTCTCTGCCTTGGATTAGAGACCTCTCATTCTTCTTTTACACTTATCACACACATGCTGCAGCCGACGGCACATCCATGAGTGTGTGGCCTGTGACAGGCTCACTGGGGGGCGGTTGAGAAAAAGAGCCACATCATCAAAGCCCGGGAATGACTCTGATCCATAAAAAAAGCCGCCGATGATCATGGGGGGGGCTCCAGCAGTCCTGCGTCCAGGAAGGCAAAAAGGTGATTCAGCATCTCTTCATTAGCACTCCTTGCTCATTGGCCCTGTGGCGAGGACTCAGAAGTCTGTGAGATGGGAGATAACTGTGGCGTATAATTGGGTACTTGCTAGTTCAAAGATAATGGGGATTTTATTTTACCAAGGCCTGCTTTAATTTGGCCCTCTAGTGTCATATAGCGTGCTCAGATGATAGCTAAAGCTTTAACAGGGAAAAGCTGGTTTGGAGAATCAAAAAAAGGCCCCGAGTTCGAGGACGGCTTTGCATTTTGTCTCACGGCTCAACAAAAATATTGTCCACAGCCGAGAATCAAGGACTAGAGTGTGTGAGCGTGTGTGTGTGAGAGAAAGAGAGACAGAGTGAATGTGTTTTTCGGGATGCTGGGATCTGTCCTGGACCACACACACACACACACACACACACACACACACACACACACACACACACACACACACACACACACTGCTATACTTCGCACTTCCACAAGGGGTCTCTGTGGTGCTACAAAGCAGGAGGGTCGGTGTGCAGGAGGAGCACATGAAGCAACAACAACAAAAAAACAAAACACACCATTTTGACAGGTGTAGGCAACGGTAAAAGGAAACACGGATCCTTTTGTGTGCCACCTTTGATGTCAAGAGGCTTCACCCATGGATCCGAACAGCATGTTGTGTTGTAGCATTGACAGCTCTGCTGCTGTGCTGACAACAGCAACGGCGTCATTCTCCAAGACTTATTCCAAGGGCCTCTTCATGCATATGGCTGCATGTTGCTCCCTTAACGACGGCATGTTCATTTGTGCCGGCTTTACTGTGAGCAGCCAAGGCTGCATGGGAAGAGGTTGTGCGCTCAGTTTGGGAAAAGCACCAACAGCCGTGCAGGGATTTGAGTGCACAGCTTCTAGCATTCAAAATCCCAACCTCTGGTCTTGGTCAGGGGGGTAAAGTGAGTCTTAATGCGATTGTCTCCTCTTTCTTATCTCCCTTCGCCTCTGGAGCATCTCTCTCAGTCGCTGTGGCTGCAGGACAGAGACGTCAGCAAAGATTCCCGTGGCTAAGCAGACAGGCTGGATGCAATGAAACCATGAAACGCCACAGAGGAGCGGAAAGATCGGGTAAGAGACACAGCGGGGAAGAGAGAGAGTCGGCATGGTGTGCATTTCTCCATCTGTGTGTATGCCATACATGTGACACGTCTATACGTGTCACATGCATGCCATGAGAGAAAGGAGGCATATGTGCATGTGTGTCAGTGTGGATGTGAGTGAGACAGAGGAATCACACACATGGGGGAGCAGATCATTCTTTGTGGAGCATTGAAAGACTTCCAACACAGATGACACAGATTTCAGATCAGTACATCCACATGCAGAGTGTGCACCAACCATGTCGAGTTAATCTACCAGCATTTCCCATTCAGATAAAACACACCAGCTCTTGAGTAGGGAAGCCTATTCCTTTTTTCCTTTTTGCGTTTAACAACCTTGAATAAATTAAGCCCTGTAGCTAGCAAGAATAAGACTTCAGAGAGGGAAGAGACCAAGCTTTTTCGGAGGTGTTTGTTTTTGTAAAGGGCATTTGCAATCTCAACAGCAATGGGGACACAAATAGCTTCCTGTTGAGTGTTTTTGGTGAGATGGGAGGCAGTCTACGAGCTGGCAATTTAAAGACATAATGCACAAGAACAGCAGACTTTCCCAATTACCGGTGTTCTGCAAGCGAGCTTGAGTTCTCTCTGCAACATTTACACCATATTAATATAAATGGAGCCCATGGCTAACTGGAAGATGTAAAACAAAGACATGCAAATCTTAAAGTTAATTATTGTGGTTGACACAAATAATCTCACCACAATAACCATTTAGTGGCTGTTGTGGACCTTTCAATCTCATAAAATGGATGAGTATGCTAAGGCCTTCACAGTCACTAGAGCTCAACCCAACTGTACAACAATAGAAGACTTTGGAGAGACGAGCTCTCCACCATCATCACCATCAAAAAAACAAATGAGGGAAGAGCATCATTCTTCTTTTGGAAGAACGATGCTCTTCCCTCCACTAGAATGTCAGATACGTGGGGAATCTAAACCAAGTGATGCTCTGCTGGAGGCCTCAACAACTTACTAAGGCACTCTATTTGGGGTTTTCATTTAATTTGTCACCATCTGTCCTCTACTACTGAGTTTTTAAAAGGTAAAATGGTATTTTTTTTTTAATTCAATCCAAAAAGGCCTTCGCCCTTTTGCTTTGGACAAGATAAACAGCATGTGCTTTTAAAGCACAGCCGAAACCTCTTCACAAAATGTCAGAATGTCATTTCTGTGACTTCTGGCATTGGTGGAAAACTCCTCTTTTCTCCCTTCAACCAGCCAAAATGATATTCACTCTACTCTCTAATTAGTCCTTCCTTTAATGCAACAATCTGGGCTCTACATAAAAGGACTTGAAGTTTGCCCTGTAGCTTGTGATCAGCAGGACAGCGAGCAACTGATCTGGACTGAGAAGAAGCCCAGGAATTAAATCAGGGGATAATATGATTGTCGATGGTGAAAGGGGATTTCCCAGATTCTTCGGGGGGCATTTGGGCAGCGTGACGCGATTCCTGAAACCATTTTTACAATCTCTGACTGACAGTGATTATTAGCTGTATCTTCTGCCCCTGCACAACATCCAGGCAGTGAGGGGTAACACAAGTGATGGAGCCCTGTAATTGCGGTGGCTGGGTACACACTCGCATCGGCATTGCCAGATTTAATTGTCTCTCTATTCAGCATTCACTTTGTTTTGTTTATCACAGACCGAAC